AAATGAGTGATATGCATGTCAGCAATCAAACATAGTTGTAGCATTTATATAATCATTGAATTAGTATAGAAAAAGTAAAATTCACATGCTATAACAATAAAGTCTGTAAAATAATAAGATAATATGATATGAAAGCCAATAAAATAATATAGCAAGGGAACTAATAAACTAGTATGGGTGTCAAATAAATAATACATTTATTGTATCAATACTATCAACCATTAAGAGAATTTTGTAAAGTTGTAAAACCAAACCATCGATAAAAAATTATCAAATCATATCAATGAAATAAAATCATATAGGAGTGTACACATATTATCCATATATTATATATTAATATTAAATCAGTATATTATGTACTTAGTATGTCACATGCTTAGAATTAATATAATGAATAGCAGTATCAAATAATATCGATGCCTATATTGATAACATTAATAATTTAGGGGTATGAGCAATAAAATAATAATATAATAATAAATTCATCTAATAATAAGAAATTTATACAATAATAAGACAAATGCGTCAATAATATATATTTTAGTAGTCACACTAAACTAATAATAAGTTCTAGCTATCATGATATTTTTAGTAATCAATATCAATAATTAGTAGCCGTTGGCTCAGTAATCAAAGTCATCACTCTTTTCCCATTAGCACAATAATAACTTATTAGAACACCCAATTATTATATTATTTCATCAATAGAAGATAACACATAATTATAGTACTTAAAGGAAAGCCCGTCAGCCCACCATCTTGTACAAATCAATCAATCTCCAACTAATAGGTAAAATAGTCTTTACTCTTATTTTACACACACATTAATATCAAAGTAATATAACATTAATAATGATTAATTATTACTCAATCACAAATCTATATTCATTTACAATATAAATATAGTAAATAAAATTTAGTTGAGCTTAATTTAGAAAGTGTAAAAAAATCCTATTATGAAAAAATTTATATTTTTTGATATTAATCAAATTAATAAAGATCAAATATAACAATATTATGAAGCTTTAATTGAACTAAAACACAATTTTTAAATTAATAAAAATCATTATTTTTCAAAATTATCCACAAAAAAATCTCAAATAAATACTGAAAATATTCATAATCTTAATATCTATAATATATAAAAAGTTAAGCGTTGAAAGATTTATCAATTAAAAACTATCCTCATTTTTTAGTAATGGAAATACAAATTTGATAATGATTTTTACAATAAAACGAGCAAATCTCCCAATAGGATTGACGGATAAAAATCACTACAATATGTCCTTTAAATCTAGCTTTCCCTTTTCTCTCTCCTCAAATTTCTCTTTAGGTTTTCTTAATTGCTCTTTATTAGCTGATTTAAGGAAATGAGAAAAAAAGCTTTAATGAATGTAATATAATAAGAAATTTATAAAGAAATAATAATATAATATAAATATAAATATATTATTTAACATTAATGTAATGGTTTTGATATGTCTTAGGTTAATTATTGGCTAAAGTTTTCTAATTGATTGAATTTTAATTTAAAAAAAATGGTCACTAATTCTAGGGTAAGGTGTCACTAAATTTTCTATGTTATATGTTTCTATCCTAAAGTGTTCATGCATCCTAAGTCTAGGTTTTCTAAGACTCAGTCCTTAATTATTGTCCTTAAGTGTCACTACTGTTATATGGGTGAAAAATTTATTATTACTAACCCTTATGACTTTGCGAATATGTAAAAGGAGTTTAGGGATCTAAGAATAAATAATAATCCTAATTAAATTGAAGTTACTATAGGGATCTAAAGAAATGGTTCACGCACACCACATCAAGGGGTCCCTAAAGGTTTTCTAAGTTTAGAAATAGTTACAGTCACCAGGGGCTACGACCCGGTGGTTCCGCCCGTAGCACCTCTACCCGGTTGGATAGAGGCGACTGACGCCTTTAGCTCCTTGTACTTTTGTTCCCTCGACTGGTACCGTTCCTCATAGTTCATGCAAATATAAAGAAGAAAACAAAGAAAACAGGGATTAGAAAGCACATTTAATAATTAATAATAAAATAATTGAAGTTTACTGAAATAAAAGACATATCTTTCTTCGGGCTTGAACATCAGTTCTGTTTATTCTACTTTTGAAATCCTTTCACTTTCAACACTTACCTTATAATTTTTTAACATTCATTTCTACTATTCTAAATTTATACAATTTTCACAAAACAAATACCTTACCTTTCACACTTATACACTTCTCTCATTCCAAAATCGTATTTTACATTTTTCTTTATCAAAATACTTTTAAACATTTCAATATTCAATACACCTTTCAACATGTATTACTTCTTAACACATTCCACTTTTCAAAAATGACTTTTATACTTTTTAAACCATACACTTTTCAAAAATATACATACTTTACTTTCAAAATCTGCACATCTCACCTTTATACATTTCACATCTCAAGTCAAAAATAGATCAATCTTCAAAATTACTTGATTTATTTCTTCAAAAATGCATATCTTCCATTTTTACCAAAGCATAGACTCTTTTCATATTTCAAAAATATACAACTTTTCAAATCATATAATTCACCTTTCAATATACACTTTTTTATTTCACTTTGTTCTCATATATAAATTACCTTTTTTAAGATACATTTTATTACACTTCTTCAAAATATACTCACTTCCACGAATTTATTTTCATTTATTCACATACACATTTTAGCTTTTCAAAGCATTCATATTTTACAAAATAAACATAAGTTCCACTTTTCCAAAACAAACACAATTTTCACCTTTACACATACTCCACATTTTGGCCTTTCAAAAACATAAAATTCGTTTCACTTCCCACTTTCAAAACAAACACCTTTTGTTTTCTAAAATCTCATAAATTCAATTCTCAAACTAAATACACTTCTCTCTTAACAAGCATTTGCTATTACTCATGAAACGAAGGAAAAGCTTATACAAGTTTCACGCCATCTATTCTCTTATTGAACTTGTATACATGGTATTTAAAGTGAATAGTATTAAACATATGTATATTTCTCTACTGAACACTAAGCTCATGAAGTTTCCAAACATCACATCTTACAACTCTTATTGTTTCAAATACTAAAAGCCCCTCCCCCCCTTTTTTTTTATATATATAAAAAATAATAATAATTAGTACAACAATGCTAGTGAGATCAAACTGAATAAGTATATGATTCTACTTATTGTGAAAAATGAAAAGTATGGTGGCCAATAACATTTCGTGATTAAAAAAAAAATTTGCGGTTAAAGATTACAATTATTTTGATATCAATATGAAATAAGGATTTAATAAAGTATCGAAAAGCATATTATATCAAACCAAATATACGTCGCATCATATGGAAATCCAGAGAATTATGTCTATTCTTTTAATAGAATAAAATGGAGAATGGCACAAGAAATCGAAAGCCAATCCAAATCTAAATAACACCTCCATGACATAACCATTCATTCTAAAAATAAGATCATAAATGTCAAGAGGAAGAAGTAGAGAAGAAAAGGATTACCTACAGCGAAGATGATCGGCGGTGAAGCTAAATCAGTAGAGGCAGGGGCTTCCAAACTGTAGGGTAGGAAGAGGCGAGTCTTCTGTATGTGCGAATGCAAGAGAAGAAGCATGTGGATTTTGACCTGGATTATACGAATAGAGAGCGACAGAGAGCAGTTCGCCTGGGCCGAACGAACAGAGAGATCTAGAGGGCTTGATTTGCGAACTAGTAGTCCGTAGGTAGAGAGGTCGTTTCTTGCGAACTAAATGAGAGGAGGGAGTTCGTGCAGTTTCCCTTAGTTTGATCCGGCAAGAGAGATGATCGAGGGAGAAGCGACGAACTTATACCAATGAGAGCTTAGGAGTTTTCGAAATGGAGAGGTGGTTCTCTCTGGGCTTCACGCGATACCTGGAGGTGATGGGCTGAGGGCGTTCGGCTGAAGGCATGCGAATGAGAGAGGCGAATTGGGAGGAGGCTTCGTTCTCTGTATGCGAATCAGAGAGTCGTGAGGGAGATGGATTTTCCGAAATATGAGAGTAAGAAAAAGAGCAGTTTCCAACTCAAGGAGAAGAGGAGCCGTTCGCCAATTAGAGGGGAGAGGGAGCGGTTCTGAACTGGAGAGAGGCGGTTGTTGGGATGCTTCGTGCGAATGGGAGAGAGCAAAACCGAGAGAGAGTAACAGGCTGGGGGATTTCACAAATTAGAGTGAGGGAGAGAGAGATTATGGGAAGGTTTGAACCGGTTTAATCTAACCATAAATTAGGTTTAGGTTAAGTCAACTCTAGATTTGAATTTTAGATTAAGAGATAGTTATTAGAATATATTTTGGTTATATATTTAACAATATTTTGAAACATATAAATGATTTATTTCAATAAAATTGATAAATTTAAATTAAAATAAAATTGATGAACATTTTTAAAATAGATCAATTTAAATTTGTTTATTTAATATAATTAATGGAGTTGGCTCGTGACGAATCAATCTGAACTAACTGTGGCTATTGTTATTTAAAATGAACTAGAGTCTAGTCAATTTGATTTAATTTTGCTTCGATTGGTGAATTGATTTTGATTCGAATTGAGTGGTAGGTTTGAGTCGATGCTACGTCAATGAGCGTCCACCTAAGAGAAATCCTACGGGTGCGGCATCTACACTAGGCTACGAAAACCTAGGTACTAGAGTCGATTCCGGGGAAATTGACCTCGAATAATGATGTCAACAATAATCAACAGATAAAACTAATTATCTTTTCACATAATACTTAAATCTTTAAATAACATCAGAATATTATTTTGATTATTTTGATTGAATCCGATGGTATCCGATGTCTTAATTTGTTTCTGGACGGGGTATCTGATGATCATATGTAACACTTTTGTCAATTTTAAATTAAAATGATGCCATATTAAAAAAATAATCATTATTAATATTTTAATAACAATTTTATAAATGAAATAATTTAGTGCAATGTATAGTGCCTCTCATTAAAAAAAAAAAACAATCATAGCAAGCTTACCCAAGCCCACTCAGTATTGTTCCTCTCCGTCTCTCGCTTCCCTTTGACGGCCCAATCTTTACCACCACCGATGTACGGCTACACCGCTGCAACCCTAGACGTAAGGTCCAAATGCTCCCTTTCCTTTTACTACCTTTCGCTCCCCAACGATCAACAGCTTTATTGCCACCGTCCATGCTGCCACTTCTCGGTAAGCTCTCGCATCCTCGCCGGGCACCTCCTCGGCTTGTACTTTCCGATCCCTTCCAAAATCCCCTTCCACGCAGGCCGCCGGAGGGTTAGGGTTTTATACGGGATTCGTGATTTCAGCATGACGGAGCTCTTGGCTGAATCGGCCGAGAGATTTCCCGGTCTGGGGAAACCGCTCTGGAAGAAAGGGAGGAGGGAAATCCATGTCGAATCGATTGAAGGTGAGCGCCGGATGTCGCGAAATGAAGGAAAAACGGGGGTATGCTCCTCTTGGAGTGATGGGTCGAGCTTGACTCGCGATTCCGAACTTAATGAAGTTAGAAGGAGAAGCGTTGGTGGAGAATCCCTGACTGGTTATGGTTATAGAAATAAAGATACCAGATTTGATACGGTCAATGTGTCGGATGAGGAAGTTCAGAATGTTGATGACCCTTGGGGAGAGAGGCGTAATTCTTCGCAGAGGGATGTTGTCCTTCATTCAAGAAACGATGACTCTACGAAGAGAAATGATAATTTTAGGCGATTCAGAGTTAAGGATGTAGGGAAGAAGGTTGATCAGAGGGCCAATTTGTCTCAGCAAGTGAATATCAGAGAAAGTGGGTCAGACGGAAGATCGAAGATGGTTGCGAGAATATCTGAGCTTCAGTTGGATGATGTCAAGCGAACTTCAGTTGCAGCTAATGTGAGGAAGATTCAGAAAGGGGAGAGTTCAGCTTCTGCTACGCGGCAAAACAATGCCATGGATCATCAATTGGCTGGGTATGATCAACATAGAAGAAGTTCAGAGAAACAAAGCAAAGTTGCAGATATTCAGAGTGCCGCTTATCCGCATAAAGATTTTAATGAGACAAGTACCAGAGATAGGGGGGAACGAGCTTACTTGGAGCAAAATTTAGCTCAGGTGTCTCGTGATAAAAGAATCCACCATGATCGACGAGCACTAGAGCAAGATGAATCTAGAAGAAACACCCAGAGGATTAACGAGGTTTCATTGTTTCATGGTAGCGAGTCTAGTGACCTCGGGAGGGCTTCACGTATTGGTGACAGAAGTTCCATGGGAATGGATGCGATTACTAATTTGGTTCAGGATTCAAGTCATGCGATCACTAATTTTGTTCAGGATTCAAGTCATGTTTCCATAAATAAAAGATCTCAGGTGAATACGGAAATGTATTTGTCTGTCCAAAACAGATCTGAAGGAGATGAAAAGATAATCATGGAAGGGAATTCAATTCAGTTGGGAGGAGGTGAGAGAAAGCAGATTCATAGAGGAATGTTAGAGCATGATGAGGCAAGAAGAAAAACAAAGATGCTTAGCGAGGTTTCAGAAGTTCATACTGACAACATGGAAGCATTTTCCCTTGCCAGAGACAAAAGAGGGATGGAGTTTGAATCCTATTTTGTTGAAAGTTCAATTCCTGCTACCAAAGATAAGGGAACCCAGGTAGAAATGCATGATGGATGTTACGATCAGATTGAAATGGCCAGATTCAATGCAAATAACATTGTCAATGCAGTCAGCTCATTGAGTCCTCCAGTGAACAGAGTTGATCCACAAGAATATGACACCCTTCTGGCTTCAAATCCGGTTTCTAGCTTAAGAGAGCGAAAGGACCAAGCAAACAAACAGGCTTATCTTCTGTATGATGCAAGAATGGAATCTGAAAGGGATAGTAATGAGTGCGATCTTACAAGAAGCAATAACAGAAGGATTTCTAACTTGCAAGAGGCCTATAATTCCAGAATAGAGAAAGAAAAAGAATTTTACTCAACCGTAACCTCTTCATTGGTATTGTCTCGAGAAGAGGAGATAAAAAGAAGCTCCTTTACTGGTGAGAGCTCCCAATCTGCATCAATGGGACTTACTTCAACAGTGAGTGTAACCGGTATTTCTAGTTCTCAGCCACCTTACAGTGAACTAAATTATGATGCTGGTTGGATTGGTTACCAAAATATCCAACAGGACACAAATGATTCTGCCGGAAAATTTGGTAAATCCTCTGCTCCACATGCAGTCGATTTTGTTGGCGAGCTACAGAAGGAAGTAACCGCTCTGAATGAGTCGGGAAAGACAACCAATATATCTGCTGGAATTCAAGTAGGAAAACCAGGTTGGAACGAAGTTCATGCAACTTCAAGAATAGAGAATCAAAATGAAACTTCCTCAGCAGAAACCTCCTCTATAGTGTTAACTCAAGAAAGAAAGGAGAGGCATAGTAGCCTTCTATTGGGAGAGACCTCGCAGTATAAAACTATTCAAATAGCTTCAACTGGAAGCTTAGGTAATGTTTCTAATTCTGTTAAAAGTTACACTGAAGCGGATAGCCATAGTGTTAGGGATGGTATTTTCCATTTCACTCACGATGAAATTGAATCTTCCAAACGATTAGATAAATCTTCTGCTTCCCATGTAGATGAATTTGTTGAAGAGATACAACAGGAAATAATGCCCATGAAAGAGTCTGGGAAGGAGCTTAATGTATCTACTAGATTTAAAATTGAAGAGACAGGCTGGAGAGAGAGTGAAGCAACTGCTGGTATGCAAGTCGGTGAACTCACTGAGAGCAGAAGGTATGGAGATGGCGGACGCATCAAAGAAGGCAGGAGATTGTCTTCATCTGGATCGGGAATGAGGGGTCCCTCTGATGAGATGTGGGGTGTCGAAGTCCTATCTTCTCAGGAAACTTCTAATGCAGAAGAACCTGAAGAGAATTCTTCAATATCAGGAGCAATGGATTTAACAACTCCTACTCTAGAAACTGCTATCACTAGGAGGTCTCCCAGATCTTTGTGGTCATATGTTGTAGATATAATTCGGATGAGTTGGGTTTTGCGGGGACATTCTAACAGTTCAACATCAAAATCTGATAAAAGAGCTTCATCAAATGAGTCTTTAAGCAGCGATGCATGGTTTTCTGGCCCTGGGCAAGAGGAGGATGGGGCTGGGGATGTGCCCCAGAATACAAAACAAACTGGCTTGGTAAATGAACCAGGATTGTTGAAAGAATCAGTTAAACTTCGTTTTAATGAATCAAAAGAAGGGGATATGTTAACAGTGATAGAAACAAATTCATCAATCCCATCAGATTTCATGATAGGTGGCTTACAAGCCAGCAGGACTGCTACCTCATCAATAGAGGCAGAAAGCCCACCGCATTCAATATCAAACCAAGATATTCTTTCTAGTGTTATGATAGTTGAGCAGCAACCAGCATCAAAATCTGATACCGCATCGCCTTCCATTGTAGACAATGTCGAGTCAAGAGTAAGGGATAAGGTGAAAGTGTTGAAACCAATTTCATCATTTCCAGCTGCTGTGCTGAGGGTAGGTTTCTCATCCGGTATAACTCAAGCATCAGGTGCAGAGCTGACAGAGGCTGCACAAGTAGGGGAAGGTAATAGTTCTAGTTTGGAAAATATTGTGCAACCCTCAGCATCAACAGTTAATTCAGCGTTACCTAGGATTACTGATATTGAAGAAGTTGATAGGCCTGGAAGCATTCCAAAGCTGGAATTGGATCCTTTCAGTGAGAAGCTCCCTGAAGTTGGTGGAACTAACGAGGCAGGGATAAAGCGAAGGAAATTTCAAAGGAATAAGCAAGTTCTAAGCGAGCAGTTTAGTGAGTGGGAAGAAGCATTTAAGCGAGAAAATGAACAGAAAAAGCTTGATGAGCTTTTCATGAGGGAAGCTATTTTGGAAGCCAAGAAGGGTGCTGATACATGGGAAGTACCTGTTGGTGCTGTGCTGGTGCAGAATGGGAAAATCATTGCTCGTGGCTGCAATATGTAAGTGCCTTAACGAACATTCTTTTTCTTCCCAATTCTAATCTATAGAGGATAAAAATCAGCCAAAACTATGGGCTTGATACATGTAGGGTTGAAGAGTTGAGAGATTCAACTGCACATGCTGAAATGATTTGTATCCGTGAAGCCTCTAATCTTCTCAGAACTTGGCGCCTTGCTGTATGAGTCTTCCCTGGCACCTTCATGCATAATTTTGATAAGATTCTTTTCTCATAGACTTATTCTCAACTGTTACTAATTGTGTGGTTTCCATGACACTTATTTTAAGCTTTCCTATATTGTCCTTCATATTTATTTCTCACAAAATGAACTGCTAGATTAGCACTTACAAATTAGGTCAGAGATGCTTAAGATAACTTAATGTTCAAACTTGAACGAGGTCAGTGAGTCTTATGAAAATGTTAGTTGCTTCGGTGATAAGTTGGGATTTTTATTTTGCTATATTTGCTACACAGGAAAACTAAGCTACAATCCCAAATATGGAACATATTCCGTGTAGGTTATAATGCATGAAGTTTGTTTTATGTTCTCAACCTCGTACAGTTATTTCCACATTGAGTTTGAAGTCGTGCTGCATTTCCACATTTATATAACATATTTTACTGACTCCATTATTTGAGCTTATACACTACACCTTAAATGCTCATGCATCATCCATTTATATATGGTATATGTTTCAGCAATAATAGCAACCTTTTGCGTGCTGTTATTTATCTTTTTACATCTTAAATGGTAGCAAATCTTAACTTTCAGCATATGGGCTATATATATTTAATTTTTGTGATTTTCATGTTTTTTCTGTCATACTCGGTCATGTACAAATTAAAAACAAATATCCTTGCTATTTGATCCAATTTGATTTGCTTGCTGACAGTAATACATTATATGAAAGGAATGAGGTTCTATTATTCATCATTAGACTTCAGTTTTTTTGGTCTGTCTTATGAGTCATCAATGTCCTTTCATTACTGCTTACTGCTGCTTGAGGTTTTAAATTTACTTTTCCAAATTCGTTTGCACTAATATACAAGTGAACTTCTATTTTTCTTAGGGATTCTTTCAATTTAACTTATTTTCTTGTATTATCAGAATATTTGGGCATTTATTCCCTTCATTGGATGCCTTACCACATTAATTCTATCAAATTTCTAAAGAAAATAATTTTCATTCTTCAATTTCAACTGCAAATTGTAAAAAGAAGTATCCAAAATAATAATTTTAGAACTGTTTAGTGAATAACTAATGCAACAGTAGCAAGGTGCAGGCATTAATCGAGTTTGATTACCTAGTTAGTTGTTGAATATTTTTTTTTTAGATATAGTTTTCTAGCACTAATTTTCTAAACATTTCTACTTGTGCTAATCCAATGCAAGATCTAGAACCATTGTGGAAGCCTAGACACTCTATCTTCGTTAGTGTCCAACTTTCCAGGATTTTCTCCTCTCTTAGCTCGCTGGAGTAAGAATGGAGGCAAATGAAGTAAAGATAGGGGTCGGTTATTTTTGCATATAACTAGGTCCATGTTGTAGATTTCAACATTTTAACTCCACTTCATGGTTTAAAATTGCGCAATATGAGGCTCGTCATGAGGTCCGCCTTTGCGCAATTCCAGTAAAAAATGCCTCGATGCTTACGCCTCGAGTTTTTTATGAGGCTTGCGCCTCAACTTAGTTGAGGCCCTCCTTGAAGCCCGCCTCGCCTCACTGGCATGAGGCTTACGCCTCACGCTATATATATTAAAACTTACATAAATCTTGAAGTAAAAGTCCGACATTGGACTCTATAGGAGAGGAGGAAGGGGAGGGAGCAATTCACCATAATGATGATTCAAATGAAGAACCCCTTAGTGATTATAGTGCTGATGACTTATGAGTTCTTATGTGATATGTCATTGCTATTTATTTTTGGAAATTGGAATTATATGTTAATAGTGGGATTTGGGAAAGATAGAATCTTGAGTTGAATTATATTTCATGTTGTCTTATTATTGAGATATTTTGATTTCACTTCATATCTTATGCTTTTTTATATTTTATATTATTCACTAATTAGTATATAAAAAAATTATCATTTTATGTTTACGCAATCTTTTGATTTTGAGGCTAACGCCTCAAAACGCCTTGAGGCTTACGCCTCGTCTCACGAATGAAAAACGCCTCAATACCCGAATACGCAATTTTAAACATTGCTCCACTTTTCAACTCTTGCACCCAGATCTCAAATGAATGCAGTTAATTTAAATGTATGAAGATTAAAGAGGCAATTGCTCGCTAAGAATCTAATATTTTTTCATTGTCCTCCAACCTATTTAAAAGGGCATGGATGACCTCATCTATCTCTCATGTTAAAGGGTTCTCATTTAGAGTTAATCTGTTTTCCCTTGAGTTTTAGCCTCTCAGGCATTGGCAACAATGATAGTAGTTTGTTCATGCAGCGCCTCCTCCTTATTGGCTCATCTCTTAACACCTTAAGGAAGCAACTTAGACAGGTGGACCATCGCGACGAGGATCTTCATTAGTTATACTGTTAAAGCTGAGGATAATCATGTTGGGGAATTTGGCATAGGCATGGGTGAGGCTTGACAGAATCCGTAGTTGACTTGGGGGTAATAAATGCTTTGATTAAATGAAATCCCAAGGATTTTTCTGCATCAATGCAAGGAAATAGAAAATCTTATACCAAGAAGGATCTGGAGCAAAAATAGCTTTGTCATCTGATCACCAATGAGGATGGTCCTTGTTGAAGTTGGATAACATTATGATCAAGAAGGCAAGGACCATGAAAGTTTGTCATCCATTTGCTACTTTTTTTCTCACGGTGATTAAATTCATATTAAAATCATTTTATCGCTTTCAATTTTCATGTAAAAGTGAGATTTTAGATTTTGAGAAATATAAAGAAGTTGAATAAATTGGGGAAAAATGTGAAATTTACTCAAGTTCGTCAATACAAAAAGGGGCTTGAGAGTAAGGGGACCAATGTAGATCTGAATCTGCCATAGCATCTTATATGACTTATCACCTGTCAAAGGTTTATGATGTAACCACTTGATAAGCATCGTGGTTTCTGCTGTATCTTGCATAGAATTCATATTGAGTAGGGCTCCAAACAAGTAACCAACAACAGGGTTTAATGCGAACACATGAGCAATAAACACAACATATTTTTTCTGGCACATCTAATTGTGTCATCTCTGTACTCATCATTTGACAATGTTCAATAGGCTCCCAATCAAGGTTTTACTATGCTTCTGAAGACCATTATTCTTGAGGAAGATAGGTTGTCTGAAGTAATGACCTAAAGGCTAGGGTTCATAGGTCATACCTTGTAATGACTAGAGGGGCTCCTTGACTACATCTATCAATGATTATTTGACATGATATACTAGTCAAGTTAGGAAATAGCTTTTCTTATTTTAACCCTATAACTAAAAATTCAAAGAATAGCGTTAAGGAGGACTTTTTATTGCAAATGAACTCCTCAATAAGAAATTTATGCTATATTTCAATAAATTCTTATTCCCGTACCTCCATTATACCCGTTGATTGCTTGAACTGTGATGGCTAATATGCTTTTGGTCAATTTTTGGCAGCAACACTCACAAATACTACCTTATCTTACTTTTTTGTTTTTTCAAGGGAATGATGAGTTGATAATTGGGAGCATTCCAACTTTCTCTCTAAGGAATTTGAAGAAAGAAATCCATTCACATTCCAAGGTTCCAAAAAAAAAAAAAAGAGATTATCGTTAAGTTAAAAATGCCCTCAATTAAACTCTATTACTCGCCATTGGGATGTTGTTGGTGGACAATGATAGTTTGTTTGATGCCCTCTTTTTCTCTACCTTTATGAACTTTGGGTTTATGCATGGAAACCTTCAGCCTTGCTCAAGATAACTACATAGACTTGCAAATAATTCAATAGACATGGATGGGACAACTATTCTATTAGTAACTCTTATAGAGGGATGACAACTATACCAGCCATTTGATAAAAATTATGGTTGTTAAGATAAAGATAACGTACAAAGCTTTTGTTGTTTTCTAAAATAACTTTTTAGTACAAAATTTTCTAATTTAAAAAATTTTGAACTAAAAAAACTGTTTTAATAAACAATAAGAAAGATGTCTCAAATTAAGCCTTAAATTCTTCAAAAATAATGGATTTAGAGAAGTGAGAGGAAGTTTAATGTCATCTTGTATTGCAGGATTGCACCATTGCAATCAAACAATGTCTTTGTGTAGGTTGATTGGGATACTTTTTTTGCTCAATCAAATAACATCATCAGTGAAAACTGTTTGTGATGAGGACATAAACAGGAGATTTTGGCACATGACACCGGAGATGGACGGCCACTATTAGGAGCCTTTACTTTTGATGCATTTTATGTATTGTTTATTTTATATTTCAATTTTTCCTATTTTACCCCTGTGGGTAGTTAGTTTGAGTTGTAGCCCTGATGGCATCTCAGTCTTTAATTTTCTTTTCTCTTTTGATGCCTATATATGAGGTCCTTAGTCTTCTATTAGGGTTAATGCTTGATTAATAAAATATTTCTGATTCTCTTGAGAGCTTGTGAGTTCTTGAGTGGTGAAGTCCCAAGTTGTGGGCAAAGCAATGCCCACCAGTCGTCGGAAGTGTCCCCGGCTCGTGTTTCAACTCCGTCCCTTGCTTCCAACCATCGGCCATCTCTCCACCTTACCTCAAACCCCGACCATCCTTTCTTCCCATCAAACCACCAGCCCCAACCCGACCTTCCTTTTCCTACCCGCCGACCCCCACTACTCTCCCACCCATAGCCGCCGGCCTAGCCCACAACCCGCCGCTCTCTCCCAATCCCTGTCATAGCTGCTGGCCACACTTTATTACCCCTCTTAATGATGATTTCAATCATCATTAGTACTTGCCTAAATTAACCTAAATGATTTGAGAAAGGATTTAATTCAATTTGAACTTCACATACACTCCTAAATTAACCAATCTAAATTAGGAAAGTTTCAAAAAATAAGTCTAATTTTATTTTAAATTAGATTTGATTTCATTATCCTCTTCCTAAAGTGGATTAAGGAATTAGGAAACTTTAAATTCCCTCTCAATTCTCACTCTTTCCCCATGTATGCCGCCGGCCCCTTAACCTCTCCCCCTCTCTTTCTACTCCCA